GAACAAAAAGATCGGCGAATTGGCTGGAAACCACGGGGAAAGCCTGGTAGTGCCGTCGCGGAAAATTTCACAAAACGCCTCCGATGAGACCCTTTTTGATTCTCGTTCTGTGTAATTTTTTCATCATTATGATCATCGTTTTCTTCTCTACAGGTTGACCGGAGCAAAACATCCAATTGCAACGTGAGCTAGAGGAGCTACCACACCGGAGAGCCCCGCCGGTGAGTTTCAATTTTTTATGTTTTTTTGGCCAACTGATACCCCTTAACGTGTTTTCTCATAGAGATTGATGCAAAATCAGCCAAATTTGACCGAAAATAGCTGACTCGAGGCAGACCGCTGTCACGAGCATCGGCACCGTTGCCGGAGCACGGCGGAGCCACCGTGCCAGAATTTCGAAATTGGCCAAAAATAGGTCTTGAGACTAATTTTGGATTTTTTGGGGCATTTGTTGGTACTGATAGTACATTTTAATTCCCAAAAAAAAAATTCAGGGAACCTGAAAACCGCTAGTATGCGCAGTCAACAACTTAGCTTTTTGGGTATCAAATTGAGTAAGAATCTTTCACCCTATTCTTTGTTACAGAATTGAAGTCTAAATAAATAATAATACAGCATTTTGTGTAATTTAAAAAATATTTATAATTAGTTACGGGTTACTAATGGAGCTAGAACTGGAAATTATTTATAGTTGATTCTGTTTAATTATTTTACAGTTAATTGCATGATAATATTTCATTGATGGATTTTATAGTTTTGAATGCATGTATTGTTTGATTTATGTGATTATCATTGAATTGGAAAATATAGACTAAAAAAAACAGAAAATTGTGTGATTAAGTGAATAGATGAAACGACAGCCTTACTGGATATCCTAGGAGATGGTGGATGAACCCGGTACAATAAGGAACCCTACTGTGAACGTTGTCTCATACCGGACGGGGTATCGAGACTTGATAATTTGGTGCTCATATTAGACGGGATATGGGGACAGCCCGTTTCACCTTAATACCAAACGGAGCATTGAGGTTTAGTAACTTGGTGCTCATACCGGATGGGATATGAGGACGGTCTATTAATTGAGAATGTTAAAGGAAATGGTTCATGCGTAGTGGAGACATCCCTATGAACCTCTATGGATACCAGCAGCCTGATGGAAAGGGATAGTTGTTGTTTGATTTATTGAATGTGGATTTATAATGGGTGCATGTTACCGATTGCATATGAAATCATGATAAGTGCTATGTTATTGTCTCTATAGGTTGTTTTTATAAATCTCGTTACGGTAAGTGGACGACAAATGATTTTATTATTGATAAATGAATTTGTTTAATTAAGTCCTCTATTAGTTGTTTTAATTTTTCTAACAACCTTTATTTCTGTGTTGGTGAGTAGCGTGATATTCTTACTAGGCTACTATAACTCATTTCTTATTTAACTATTTCAGATCAAGAGGACCAAGACCCAGAGCCCGATCCACAAGAGAGTTGTGAGTAGAATGCTAGTTTTATCTATTTTTGCACTTATTTCCTTATTTTTGTATTTCTTTAAAAATAGATAATTCTCGTAGAACTATTCAGTACCTTAAGTTATTGTGTAAGGAATGTAAACCTTAGCTATCTATTTCCTTCCGCACTTAAATTATAATTTATTTTCTTTGGACATTCCGGGATCGTTACAGTTGGTATCAGAGCTGTATTCCTCTGACCTATTACTTACACAAAATCCTTAGGAAACACCAACAATAATAAATTGTCACTCAACCATTCATTGTGAAATGCAGATACAGATAGATGATGAGAGGAAGACCTCCACTAAACTGAGCAGCTCAAGAGGGTTCGCTTAGAGAGGATGTTGATCGGTTATTTGAGATGGTGGAGAGACTTATTGCTGCCCAGCAGGCCCGGAAGGAAAGGAATGAGCTACCTGACCCTCCCCTGCTGCCATAGGTTGAGCCACTCCTGCAGCGGGAGGATCCTGCACCACCCCGATATGACCCTACTCCTTCACAGTACCACTCAGCGCTACCACAGTATGATCTGGTGCCTCAGCCATCGCATCACCCGGCACCACCACAGTACAATCTGGTGCCTCCACCATATCATCAAGTACCACTGCAGGGCCATCCAGTCCATCCTCAACACAGTCCAGTCCCTCATCCATAGGACCCAGCTCCTCTCATGATGGACCCAGACTACATAAAAATGTATAAAAGACTAAATTCACCTTCTTTTACAGGGGGATCCTCCTTTGAAGAGACCGAATGCTAGTTAGCTGAGATAGAGAAGACCTTCAAGGCCATTGGGGTGATTTTTGAATAGAAGGTCATCCTTACTACGTATATGCTAGTAGGAGAAGCAGACCGCTGGTGACAACTCAAGCAGACCACCCTGCTCGTTTTAGTCACTTGGGAACAGTTCCTGACGACTTTTCATGCAGAGTATCTCCTAGAGCATCTCCGACATATGAAGGATATGGAGTTTGCACACTTGGTCCAAGGGGACATGACTATATCAGAATATGTTCACAAGTTCCTAGAGTTGGGTCGATATTTTCATGAGAGCATGATGGATGAAGGCTAGAAGGTTCGAGTGGGTTCTCCGTCCTGAGATCAAACAGTAGTTGTTTGTGCTCAAGCTCAGTACTTATTTGGTTGTTCTAGCTAAGGCACAGTTAGTGAAGAGGAGCCTTCGCACCTTCTCTAAAGTAGTAGGGAACCTCAGGTCCTCAGCCCCTCACCACAAACTGACACCTACTGTACCTGTTCAACAGAATAAGAGACCCAGGTCGATGACTCAAGCTCCCCCTCAGGTTCCAACAGCAAGACGTGGCAAGATCTGTCAGCATTGTGGCAAGGATCATGGGGATCGACTCTGATATCGCTTCAACAACACTTGCTGCATATGTGGTAGTGCATAACATTATGCAAGAGAGTGACCGAGAAACTAGAACCAGACTAAACCTCCTATCCAGGGCAAGGCTTACAATCTCACTCAGTAGGATGCAGAATCCAACCCCGACGTGGTACAGGATATGTACACTATCTGTAACCATCTTGCTCATGTTTTGATTGATACTAGTGCATCGCATTCATTTGTTTCACATGTTTTTGCATCAAAATTAAATGTATTACCTGAAAAACTTGATTCTGTGTTGTTTGTATCTACTTTTGGGAGTAAAACACTACTGGGGGAGGTTGTATACAGAGCTTGTGTCATAGATATAGCAGATAGAAAATTGAGTGTGGACCTAATAGAAATTGACACGGAAAACTTTGATGTAATTTTAAAAATGAACTGGCTAGCGGCGTATCACACCACTGTAGATTGTTTTAGCAAGAAGGTT